AAAGCAATTTAGCCGGCGACAAAGCCGTGAATCCATAATGATAATCAAAAAAGGAAACAAAGATTTCTTTCTTTTTCTTTTTTTTTATCCTCCCATTTCACACATTTAATGGTATATTCAGGTTGATTTTAGGCAGAAAAAAATGTTCATTTAAAACATATCGATGTTCTTAAGATGAGTGGAAATCTGCATAGGTGTAAAGAGCCCGCATGTCGCCACTGCCAGCAAAGCTTCAGAAAGAATGTCCTCCCCATTGTCCTAGTCATCGCAGGGGAGCAAGCCAGCCTGCAAACCCTTACAGGCACCGCAACACGTATGCTGCCTACATCACGCCTAATCACCATGGGAGGGGGGGGCGGGGGGTGGGGGGGCAGATGGTTAAAAAAGAGATTTGGAAAAATGTCAACGCTTGTGTTTGTTCCTAAAATCCAGTCCCTGATGGCCCCAGATTGCTCAGAACCTCTATGAATATGAAATCTATTGTGTCATGGGTTGAATTCCCTCCACCACCCCCCACCCCCCAAGATATGTGGAAAGCCTGCTGAGCCCATGAACATGACCTTGTTGGAAAATAGGATTTGGGTTGTTGTCAGTTAAATGAAATAAGGCGTCTTCAATCCGTCTTCAACCTGTCTCTGAGCTCATGCCTTATAAAAGGGGAGAAAGGCCAAGGGAGGGGCAGAAATCACGGAGGATCCAACTGCCACCAGCAGAAAAGTCAGCCAGCATGGCCCGCAGCCACCAGGAACCCTGCAGCATGTGTGGGCTCACATTTGAACCTTCACAGCCTTCTCGATGCGCAGCTTGGCTCGGCCACGCACGCGCTCCTTGAATGCCGCCCGCTCTTCGTTGAAGCCCTCCATGTACTGCCGATCGGCTGTCTTGATCTTGGTGAAGGACTGCCGGAAGCAGGCACGGGGGTCCACCTTGAGGCTCTTGGCCAGCTCCAGGATGAACTGCATCACCTTTGACCCTCTAGCTCCTCCATAGGAGAGAGGTGTGGTCATCCGCTTCCAGAAGACTGGAGCCCAGAGGTGCTCTACCCATTGACTAGGGCCACTGAGAGTCAGAATTGACTAGACGGTCGGAGCGAGGCGTGGACTAGGGTCTCTCTCGAAATCCTCAGAAGGAATCGCTGTGGCTGATAGCATGATTTGGACTCCCCATCTCCAAAATGGTGAGACAATAAATCTATATTCTTCGAAGCTGCTCGCCCGTGTGGTTTCTCACCGCTGTTATGGACTGAGTCGCAACGACCAGCTCAAATGAACCACAATCGTGAGGAGGGCGCGGGACTGGGCGGTGCTGGGGATGCGTCAGAACGGACCGACAGCGCCTGACAACAACAGGAAATGAAGGAATATAAGGCCTTGTACTGGGCAGCGAACCCGGGAGTCTGTAGTCCCAAACCACCAGTCCTGAAGCTTCCTAATTCTATAAAGATTGACAGTGCAGAAACCCCCAGGGGCAGTTCTTCTCTGTCCTAGAGGGTCTGTATGAGGCAGTGGATGAGACCCAGAATGTAACAACACAGTAATGGTCATCTCCATACAGATGGGCTGACCCGCACAATGTTCTTCAAAAAAAAAAGTCTGTTATATCCCATTTTGCTAGATTATGAAAGGAATTTTCTCTGCTTTGTATTTATAGACTTGCAAAATCTAACGGGTTGATCTGGCCCAACCAAGTGATACTTGAGAGCCTGAGATTATATTTACTTCCGGTTGGAGATCACTCGATTCAAGGGAACGTAGCAGTTTGTCTTGCCACCACCTCAGCACCAGGTGGTCAGGACTCTGATGTGAGTTCACACTTCTCCTCTTCCAGCCCCTGCCCCTCAAAAGCGTCTGCCTACGACAGCACAGTGATTGTCTTTTGTCAGACCCATAGTGTCCTCCCACCACTCCTCTGCCGATGTGCCATGCTCTGACACTGGAAGTCTTGCCCCCTGGATTTCAAACACCAGAAGGGTGGACAAATACCACGGGGACAGATTTCAGCAAAATCTTAAAAAAGGACTGTGTGGTTTCTCCTTGCTGCTTATAATACAGTGGGAGCCTGGAAAGCTGGACTTAAAGATGAATTGTGTTTTGAAACTGACGGTGGTAGCCATTGTACAATATGCTTGATCTAATTGAATCATGGATTATTATAATATCTGTAAGCACTCCCAACAAAATTAATACTAAAATAAAATAAATAAATTGTGCTTACTTGCATAAAGAGATGAATTGTGCAAAATCGAAACAAAAAGATTTGGGATATTCTGTCATACAAGCCAGGATATGTACTCTAGAATTTTCACCAAGGAGGTGGCTACACAATTCTTTGTTAAAGAGATTCAGCCCGTGGCGGATGGACCTAACCAATTACCAGCAGCTGAGACTGAAGGGGACAGAGGAGAAAAGGATACCATCTGCCTCTTAGAACTTGGCACATTGGGAACAGGCCAAAGGAGCGAGATCTGTCATCCTCCAAGAAGAGATAAGGCCCGTCCATGGAGCTGCTTGGGGATCACCATAATTGTTGGAAGAATCATGGGAAACAGGGCCCCACGGGTTTCAAGAGCGGGGCCACATTCTCCTGGGGCTCCAAGAGTGGGGCCACAGTTCAACTTCTAGCCTCCTACACCGAGCAAACAAAGTTCTCGTTGTTAAATCTGTGGCATTTCAGTTAGAGTAGCAACTAGATAACTAAGGCAGGCACATATTTTCAAAGTCGCCAAGAAGGACAGGCTGGAGTCGTGTGAAATGTAGACTGGAGAGACACCCCCGGTGAGTAGAATTCAGGAATATTCTCAACTGCTGGGGACTTGGAAATATTTCTCCAGTGGATTTCAGATCCAATATGGGCAGTGATGGCTCTGTACTGTCCATTCCTCTTCTTTTCCAATAGGAGTATTCCTTTCCAATGGGATTATTTATTCCACATTTTACTGATTAATGTTGGATGTGTGCAGGGCAGCTGCTTATCCTTGAAGTGTATGGTGTCTGGACCAAGGCATGACATTGTGGAGACTCACCCAAATCTAATACAGATCTTGAGATCTTATATAATTTATTTATAAAATAATTTTTGAATACTTGATGCTGTGCTTGGATAAGTCCTTCTGGGATTAGGGGAAGAGATCAATCTCTTGCTTGTGGGCAGTTGTGCATAATTTGAGCCAGAGGATGACTTTTGGAACATTTGTTCACAAAAATGGCCCTAATTCTCTGTTTCGTCCCTGTCTATGACCTTTTTAATGTACTTTAACGCTCCTCCCATCAAGACTGGAAGTGTATTTTTCCAACTCCTTGAATCTTGATGCCTCTGTGATTTTGCTTTGAACAATAGGTCATGGTGCAAAGTCAATATTGGTAGGGTTCTCTAGAGATAAACTGAACCTGTGACTCACACACACACACACACACACACACACACACACACTTCACTCACTCACTCTCTCTGCCCTTGGGGGGTGCAAACATGGCTAAGTGACTACAAACTGATCGAAAAGTTGCTGGTTTGAATCTTGCAGAATCGAACACATAGCCCAGGAGTCAGAATGGACTCCATGCCAACTAACAGCAATGGTGAGTCTCTGTTTTAAGTTTCTGAGGAACCACCAAAATGTCAAGCATTTTTTTGAATACTGGTATTTACTAAGCAACAAGAAGGTATCGGGCATCGCTTAGTTTTAGGGGAAAACTTCCGAAACCCATCGAGGCAGAGCTCCCAGTCAGGAGAGAAAGCTTAACAGGAGCAAGCAATTGCAACCACCTAGACGAATTTAGTTAGTATAACGTGTATCCCCCACTCGGATACATTTGGTGAGCGACTGATCCAGAGCCTAGTAGGAATACAAAAGCTGGTCCAGACCATCGGTTCTCAAACGACCCTTTCACCGGGGTCGCCTAAGACCATCGGAAAACATATTTCCAATGGTCTTAGGAACCGAGACAGGGCTCCTCTATCTGTCTCCGGGCGGGTCCGCCCAATTGCAGATACGCCCACCTACGAGAACCTGGCCTGAAGACTTACCCATGCTACACCATGCTTCAAGACAGTATTTCATTTGTTTGTCATTAAAAATAAATATTTCACAATATTTAATGACATATTTTGTGATGAATCACGCACGATGACTTAATTATGTTCAATTTGCAACAATGAAAATACATCCTGCATATCAGATATTGCCATGACGATTCATCACAGTAGCAACATGACAGTGATGAAGTAGCAACGAAAATAATGTTATGGTTGGGGTCAGCATCACATGAGAAGCTGTCTGAAAGGGTCGCGCACGAGGAAGGCTGTGAACCACTGTCCTAGAGGATTAAAGGAGCAACGGCTTCCTGCGCAAAGCTCAGGCCCAGCTCCCTGGCCGGGAGGATGACGTCACCACCCGGCGACCTCGGATGACGTCACGCGTCGGCGCCGAGCGGTTCCGGGCCCGGCAGCTCACGTGCCCGGCGGCGCGCCTGGGGAACACATGGCGAGCTCGGCGGGGCTGTCGCTCTGCGGGCAGGTGTTGGTGGTGCGGGGCGGCAGCCGGTTCCTGGCCACCTCTTTTGCGCAGAGGTGAGGGGGACGGGGGGTGGGTCGGCGAACCGGGCCGCGGGCGCGGAGGAGGCTGGCACACCCACTCCCGCACCTGTGGTTACCTTGGCACACCCACTCCCGCACCTGTGGTTACAGCCCTCGCCGACGGCCCGGCCCGGCCGCGAGCCTCGATCAGGGCTCCTCCCCCCAGGACCCGCCTTTGCTGCCCGCACGCCTTTTGAGGCCTTCCCGGGGCCTCACCCGTGGACTGGACAGCGCTGCCCCTGCGACTTCCGGGTTCAGGTGACATGGGGCGTGACTTGGGCGGTCCCGGGTCGCGGACCTGGCAGGACCAGAAGCTGATTTCGCGGCCAGGAGCCGGTCTGCCCAGGGGCAGCAGCTGAAGGCGGCCCTGCCCTTGCCTAGCAGTTTGGGCGCTTGTTCTTCGCGTTGGGGGAGATTGCTGAGCCAGTTCCCTGCTCCCTCTCCCACAGCCTCCGCCCGTATCTACTGACTGCGCTTTAATTGTCCTTCCGCGCATCTTGCATCCGAATGCCCCTCCCTTGTGGCCTTTCGCAGAGTCTTTTGCTGTGTATGATTTCACTCCCCTTTAACGTACTCGCAGAGCTTAGACACCGGCCAGAGTTTTGGAGCGGTCACTGTGGACCGAATGGTCTTGACCCACGAGGCTGGAGGTATTACTAGTGGTCACTTTCACCCTCTTGTTTCTGTTCCTTTTCCAGGGGAGTTTTGATACCCTTATACTTACAGTCCATGATGTGCTGGTTAAACGTACTTGCCACCTTCTTGCTCTTTTCAGAACGCTATTCCCCATTTCTTACCAACCTCCCCTGCCACACCCCCAGGGAACCATTAACCCAGTCACTGCCTTTACCCTTAGGCTTTTTGAAAAACTAACTATGGAGGCTGACATGGTTTCTGACTCCTTTTCACATGACATTATTGCATCCAGTCACTCCCAAGGATGGACCGGGTGCCTTACTCTCTCAGACACTGGGTGAGGGTGGAAACGGGAATGTGGGTGATCCAAATACACATAAACTGGAAAGCGCTTAAGGTCTGACTGGGAACAAAGGTGATTCACATAGTGATCAGTGCGTAGGAGCCAGGGGGCTTTTCCAGGTCAGCAAGGGTTGTACCAGGCATATTCGAAACAAGCAATGCCAGCTTTAAATTTGGGTGCAAAATTCCCAGAGGAAACTCAGCCCCCCAGGACATAATTTAACAGAATCCTGCTGCATTGACTCTAGCCACCAGAAGAGCAGTGTGTAACTTTCTGTTGAGTCTTGGAGAGGCTTCACAAAGTTGGTAGGGAAAATATCCATTCTTCTTTTAATGCCTCTTTTCATGAACTTTTGGAAGCCCCCTCACATGTTCGTTAGCTGATGGTTTTGGACAGAACCATGCCAGTTTAGTCTTGACAGTTCTGAAGAGGAATCGAATCAATGCCCCCAGCATTTTTCAGTAACAGAATTCCTTTTAAGATAAATTTTTATTTCTTTTTAGTGGTGACGACAGCCTCTTCAGATATGATTGCAGTGCGGCGGAAAAGAAACCACAGGACAATAAAGGGTGAGATGAGTAGAAATCACCTCAGGCCCGATGAGTGGTTGGATTAATAGGATCCTGGGAACAGGCTGTTTTTCTTGCCCAATGCCTCATTTTGATTACCTTCCAGTGTGGTGGCTAGTGTAAAATGGTTCACGTAATGCTTACATGTTCAGTTGCTAACCAAAAATTGGAACCCAGTGGGGCTGTTGGGTAAGGGATGGACTTGAAACTGCAAGATCGGTAGTTCAAGTTCACCGGCCACTCCTGGTTAGAAAGATGAGGCTATCTGCTCCAGTAAAGAGTCACACCCTTGGGAACCCTGTCCAGAATCATCGTGAGCTGAAATGGACTCAGCAGCAGTTGTTCAGTGGCTCATGGAAGGACCTGGTCAGCTGCTTCCATCAAGATTGCAGCCAAGAAAACCGTGTGTGGCAGTTCTACTCTGTCCCATGGGGTGACCTGGAGGCAGAATCAACTTGATGGTAGTCAACTTCAGCAACACCGTGTGGCTACCACAAGAACCCCCGTGGCCCAGAAATTTGGACCGCACTCTCAAACTAGGCCTTAAGAATATTGGGGCCTTTTAACTACCTTTAATTAGTTTAGAGCCAAGTTGTTAACTGTCTCAGCGGCCCCTAGAAATAATGGTATGCATTGAAAATGCATGGGAAGGCTGATAGAAAATTACCTAGTGGGAAGAACTGAGTATGTGTCTGCCTCCGGTGGTGGCTTCCTTCAGTCTGACTGACTCCAGAGTAGTTCATGTCCATGGGAGGCTGGATCTTTATGTTCTTCGAGGGTCCTTCAGCTCAGCTATTCTAATTCCGGTGTGCATGCCTAACTCTTTTCTGTTTAGATTTTACTCCTCCGAATTCAGCTATCCACTTTAATAATATGCCCTCAGGTTCTAACTAGACTCCTTGGGTGGTGGAGATGGCTGATGTACTCCGGGGTTGGTTCTACTGGCTGGTTGGCTCTACTCAGAGGTCCCTCAGAATGAGTCTCGTCAGCTACTGATAACGGCCACTGGTTTAGTTTGACATTCTGGCTACATGAGCCTCAAAGAACATGCTCTGCTGCCGCTTGCTTTGTAAGCTAGCCAGACTAGTTGTGGGGAGCATGTGTGCCTTCATTTACCTGGGATGCTGTAATTGTTTTCTCTCTCTCTTTCCTCACAGGGAAGACGGGCAGCCCGTGGAGAAGGGGAGTGACATGATTCTGGCATCCACCTTCTCTGAGTCTGGCCGCTATTTTGCTTTAACTGATGACAATAAGCGCCTGATTCTTTTCCGTACAAACCCTTGGCAGTGTCTGAGTGTCAGGTATGAGACACTAATGTTGAGTCATTAAGCTGTCGTTTGCTTACATGTCTGTAACAATGATGGTGACAGTAATGATCAGCCTCTAACATGGACCACCGTGTATGTGCTGGACACGGTTTTTAGTGCTTTACATGTGTTTACTAATGTCCTCCTCCCAAGGACTGTATGAAGGAAAGGAGGCGGGGCACTGCCCCCCCACATTGGCTGATGAGTGAGGGGGGCTGACTCCAGTCAGTTGGCAGGCAGAAAGGGGCGCTGGACTTGGTTTACTCCCTTAGAGGTTGGTGTTCCTGTGGCCTTGCAGTAACAGGGATGGGGACCTCAGTCCATCCACGAGTGATTGGGGTAAGTGACAGCATTATCTGTAGCCCGGCTGTAACTCTCAGTTTTTAACACTAGGTCTATAGACGTTTCTTAGATACCTATCTCTGCGACCCGTGTCCAACTGATACTTGAACGAAACTGCACATTTCCTTTAAGAAACAACTTATTTTATTTAAAAACAAAATAGTTATACACTGTGATCAATCAAACTGTGTTACTATATATTTATGTAAAATTGATAGTATTTGACATTATACAACATTTGAGATACTGGGTTTGATGTAAGGGTCACTTGGATCAGTCAGTATGGCAGTCTTTAGATTTGATGTTTACTTTCTAAGAAAAATACCCCCCCCAACAGATTTATTGGCATATAATTCACATATCATACAATTCAATAGTTCAGTAACATCAAGAAAAGTTGTACAGTCATCACCACAATAACTTTTAGAACATCTCAGAACGTTTTGCTACCTTTCTGTTTATCACTGAAGTAATGCTTTCATGAATGAAACCGATTTACTGGGATTAATACTCCATTTACATTCAAGACAAATGGATGTGTCCCCATAGACATAGGCATACTACACACAGAGAATTTTGAGATTAGAAAGCTTAGAAGAAAATGAATTTGGGTACCTAATTGCTCTAGTTAAATGGATAGAAGTCCCCATAAATGGTAGGAAGTAAGTGTAAACGGTTTCTGTAATTTTCGTTGAGGAAATCGACCTGCGTCAGAATGGCGTGCCCTGTACACCTAGCGTTACTGAAGCGCACTTCTTCCCTACGCTTCTGAAGAATGAGAAGGGCGAGAGGCTCAGTGTTGGTAGCGTGCAGGTCTGTTGCCCACGCAGGGACAGAGAGAGCATCAGGCCTGACTTTTCCTCTCAAGCCAGCAGTCTTCATCTTATCTTCCTTTTCCCTCTTTGGATTCTGTCTCCACCACTTCCTAAAAGGATAGGCGCCCCGCAGATCTATGTCCCTCCCTGTGCCAAGGCACCTTCTCATCTGACTGTCACCAGACTTTTGGGACAGGCGCTGGGGTGATGCTGGCCAGGCCTCTGCAGGTCTCGCCGTGTGCCAGCTCTCTAGCTCTCCCTGGAGCAGGCCTGGGATGATCCTGCTGCTGTTGGGACACTGATGACTGGGTGTCTTGGAGTGAAATCTGCATCTGCCCCAGCTCGTTCCCTCTCTGTCTCTTCCCTGAAGCTGCAGGGTTGAGCTGTTTCTGGATACCAGGAAAGAACCATGCACAGGGGTGTGGGGCTGGGTTGTCTAGACCAGGGCTCGGCACACCAGGGCTCTTGAGTCATCTGGCTCTTTTCCGTGTGTACTCGTGACTCTGAAGTTAAATTGAAAATGAGAATAAAACTATCGTTCCTATTACAGTGCTTTCACTTGTTTGTAAAAATGTATTTATGGCTCCTGAATAATTTTTAAATTGTTATGTGGGACAGGATTGGCTCTTCCATCTCAAAGGTTTGCCGCGAGTCCTGGGCTACAGAAACCAACCCAGTGGCCCGCAGGTCTGTATAAGAATGAGCTTTATATGAAGACGTAATTACATGTAAGGAAGGCAGCCCAGCCCAGCCCAGCCCAGCCCAACCCAACCCAACCCAAGTCCGTAGGTCCAGTGCTAGCTGGGCCCTCTTCAGATGCATGTAGCAGACACCAGAAGGTGAGGTAGGGAGCTCACAGGCTGGTGGGTGCAGAGTCACGTGGATCAAAGTCCGTGGAAATATGGCAGGCACTGACAGCTCTCTAGGTGAGGTGTTCCCTGCCCCTCTCTGACAGACATGGTCCAGTGAAAGTCTCAGGGAGGAAGAAGGGGCAGTTCCCAGAGTCCTTCACTTTCCCAAGGAGGAGTCATCAAGCTACCATTTGGTCGACAGCTTTGACTCCACCCCCTAGCCAGGAGTCTGGTTGACATAACATCACCCAGTTACCACAAACACATTATGATATTTAACGACTTTTCTGTGTGGGTCTTTTTCTTTGTAGCTGGGTCACACTTGTTCTGGGGGCAGCTGCTGCACATTTTAGATTCCATTTCATCGTGTTTTTACAGCTCAGTACAAATTCCAGGTGGCATCAAAAGCAGGGAGCACCCACCCTGCCCTTTAGTTCAGACTGATTCAAAATAAACTGAAGGCATTGGCATCTACCTGGTTTTATATGGCTGATGAGTAACAGATGCGCTTGAGTAAAACAGAGCAAAACCCCAAATAAAAATCTTGTTCCACTCCTCCCTACTTTGCCATCCCCGCTGCATACGCATCACAGCTTGCAGCACAGAAAAATGACTTCTGTGCATGTTACCATCCCCTCAGATGATGCTTGATTATAAATCACCTCTTGCAGCTGACTCCTGTACATTCACATCAGGGGTCCTCAAACTATTTAAACAGGGGGCCAGTTCATTGCCCCTCAGCCCCGTTGGAGGGCCGGACTATAGTTAAAAAAAACTATGAAGAAATTCCTATGCACACTGCACATATCTTATTTTGAAGTAAAAAAACAAAAGGGGGAAAAACACCCGGTGGGCCGGATAAATGTCCTAAGCGGGCCTCATGTGTCCCGCGGGCCGCAGTTTGAGGACGCCTGATTCACATCATGGCTCTCTTGAAAGCCTGTTCAGCGATGAAAACAGCCCAAACGTTAGCAAACCATTTGAAACCTAGACAGTGCCAAGTGTAAGCGCTACAGGGAGACCTGGAGATGCTGACCGCCAGCTTTGTAGCACCGGCGTCCGCATCATTGTTGCAGCCTCAGGGCCAGGGCTGCCCCTGCTTTGTAGCGGGTTGGCCCTGTCGTAGGTACCGCTGAGTCTGTTCCGTCAGAGCGACGCTGCGTGCAGCAAACGAAATGCTGCCTGGCCGGCGTCTTCCACTCGTCCCTGTGCTGAGCCCATCCCATAGTTGCAGCCCCCGTGCCAGTTCATCGTTCTTCACTGTTCTGTGCCAGGGCCTGTGCCCTCCTGCTACTACGCTCAAAATAGGCCACACAAAGTCCCTCCAGCCTGGCTTCTAGGCAGCATCCTGTGTATACATTTTTTCAAGACCGTCTTGTTTCTCCTCGGGCCCTCCAGCACACAGTAGAAGTGTTCGTTGGGTTTCTGAGGCGGTCCATCTTTCCAGAAGTCTATTGCCTCAAGTTTCTTCCCCAGAGCAGCTGGTAGACTGGAACTGCAGCCCAGCGTTTACCGACATGCGTCCCCAGAGCACTCCTTGTTCTTTTTGCAGTCCCGGGATCGACAGTAGGGTACCAGTGTATCAGTCCTTCCATCTTCCTTAGCCCTTGTCCAGCTTGTGCCTGCACGAGGCGATTGAGAATACCACGGTCAAGTGCACGTGAGCCTGCAAAGTGACATAGGTGCTTTTTAATACTTTAAAGAGTTCCTTTGCATCAGATGTGCCCAAGGCAATATGTTTGGTTTCCTGACCGCTGCTTCTGTGGGTGTTGGTTGTGCATCCAAGAAAAACGAGGTCTTTGACCGCTTCCCTATTTTCTGTTTATTGTCATGTTGCTTATTGATCTAGTGGTGAGGATTTGTGTTTTCTTTACATAGAGGTAGAATCACACTGCAGACTGTAATCTTTGATCTTCCTCAGCAAGAACTTCAAGTCCTCCTCACTTTCAGCAAGCGAGGTTGTGTCATCTGCGTATCGCAAGTGGTTCATGAGCCTTCCACCAGTTCTGATGCGGCCTTCTCCATGTAGTTCAGTTTTTCAGGTTATTTGCTTAGCAGATGGATTGAATAGGGAGGGTGGAAAGAGACAGCCAGAATGTACACCTCTCCTGATGTTAGACCATACAGCAGCTCTTCGGTTTGAAGGACTTCCTCTGTCCAGGCAAAGCTTCTGCATAAGCACAATGAGGTATTCTGGAATTCCCGTTCTTCGCAGCGTGCTCCATGGTTTTCTCATGACCCACTCAGTCACATACATTTGCACAGTGGACAAAGCACAAGTAAATACTCTGCTTTCAGCCAAGATCCATGTAACAGCAGCAAAACACTCCTTGTCCCATATCCTCTTCTGAACCTAGCTTAAACTTCTTGCCACTCCCTGTCCATGTATTCTTGGAACCACTGATGCATGCTCTTCAGCGAAACGCCACTCCATGTGTATTAGTGGAGCTGTTGGATAGCGTCTGCCTTCTGTCGGGCCGCACAGATAGGGATTTCTTCCAGTCGGTTGGCCAGGTAGCCAGCCGTCTTTCAGGTTTTTTGACTTAGACCAGTGACTGCTTCCAGTCTTCATTCATTTGTTGAAACATCTCAATTGATAACCTATCAATTTCAGGAGCCTTGTTTTTTACCAGTGCCCTTAGGGGAGTTTGGACTTCTGGCTGGTTCGTGATCATCTGCTACCTCCTGAAATGGTGGACCTGTCAGCCAGCTCCCAATCTCTGTTGATGCTGATTGCACCGTCAACATTTTGCTTATAAAATCCCCCAAGGTTACAACTCGGCGCGTCAGTTGCTTTCTTTAGTTCTTTTGGCTTGAGGAATGACAGGTAATGATGTTCTTGTTTGGTTTTCTAACTCAAGGACTTGGCATGTTTTGTTATAAGGCTCGTGTCACCTGGAGCTGCCCTTTGAGATCTTCTGTTCAGCTCTTCCATTATTCCAGCTACTCCCTGCTCAAGAGCAAGCTTCCCAGTCTCTCGTGACATCCATTTTGGTCTTCCCGCTTTCCCGTCTTCCTGCTGACCTTTGGGTTCTTACTGGATGCCCTTGTTAGCCCTTCACCTCACCATCCAGAAATAACCCTTAAGAATAAACTTAGTGGCAAATGTCCTGTTAGTTTGTATCTGCAAGTGTAACATTTGCAGATACTAAGTTGTAACATTGGGTAAGTGCGATTTTGTAGTCTAATTTTCCTCGTGTGGGGAAAATGAATGCTACTAAGTAATGCTCCTAGGCTTTCCGTTCATCCATGTGTGGTGTACTCCAAAGAAAACCTGTTTAGAAGTGCTTCTGTGACCAGCGAGTGACTGCCAGCCACTTCTCTCAGACTTGTCTCAATCTCATTAGGGTGCCTCTGTGAACGAGTTCTAAACCACGCAGAAGCTTTCCATGGGATCCATTGATCAATTAGATTTAAGGCAGAGAGGTAGGTTCAGAAAGTTACAGAGACTGTGTTTTAGGATATAGGACAGTCATATGGAAAATGGCATTGGTGAGAAAAAGACCATCGTGACAGTCCGCCTGCTCATCCTGACGGTAGCAAGGGCGGTCCTGTCAGAATGTCCTTGGGAAACTTTACCTGTTACCCATCCTGCAGTCCTGCAGTCCTGCTCCTCAGACGTCTCTGTTGTAGCCCCTAAACCGCAAGGACGTTGAAAAGGAACCTCACCTGACTCCTCTGAGGATGCCAGGGCTGCGCTCTCACTGTGCTGCAGATGTAGAGCTAGGTGGAGGACAGGTGGACAAAACAAGAGTTTGGCACACTCCTGGTTTTACTTAGTGAAGCTTATGATTTTGTGACCATAGATCATTTAAGCTTTTCCCTATGAGTTTAGGGACGGTCTACAGAGCAGGTCAGCTTTAGAGTCAGTTCAGGGGTGTTCTGTTGCATGCCATCTGGAATGTCAACCTTTCAGCATGACATCACCGATCCCCCTTTGTCCTGATGTTCCTGCTTCCAGGGTCTGTCTGTCGCTCTCTCAGCCTTTCTGGACTTCGTCCTTGGGGGAATCCTGCTCTCTTGACCTGAAGTGGTTGATTGGTCAGAAGTGGGGGCACTTTCCTAGTGTTACTGTTATCGTCTAGACGACCTGGCTGATGTTTGGCTGAAAAGCTAGCTGGAGGGGGAGGGGGTGGTGGTGGTGTGTGGTGTGGTGTGTGTGTGTTTTGTGGAGGTTTCATCAGTCCCTATGTGATCAGGGAATGGCGTCTTTTTCATGATTTTGAGTTTCGTTCTACATCTTCTCCCACTCCCCCCAGCATCTTCCTTCGGGATCCTTCTCAGAGCAGCGGAGCGGCAGCTGGGCCTCTTTTAGTGCTTCTGGTCTCAGGCTTGAGAAGACGGGCGCTCGGGTGGTCCATCAGTCCACCGTGCGCCTTGTGGTTTTCCCCTGCATGGGAGGCTAACAGTTCCCCTTCGATGGCTGCTCAGGAGCTTCTTTGACCCAGTGGTTCAGCAGTGCATTTGGCTTTGTGTGTGGTGAACTGTGAACGTTGCTTCCGCCTTGCCCCCGTTGTTGGCACTGCATGTAGTTTCAACAGTTCCGCAGGTGACACTGGCGACTACCATTTCCTTGGCACTGCATGTAGTTTCAACAGTTCCGCAGGTGACACTGGCGACTACCATTTCCTTGAGGTGGGCTCTACCTCTGGGACACTGAGCCTGAAGCTGTGTCCATGTGTCCAGCGTTGAGGCCATCGCTCCAGGCACTGGGTGGAGAGTGACCGCGACCCTGGGGGAGAGGAGGCAAGAGCGCACCTCAGTGTGGAGGCCTGATGTCACTCAGGAGTTCAGCATGTACTGTTGGGGCACACAGTTGACCCATCACAAACCCGAACAGCAGGCGGCACACCTGCTTACACCCCACTGAGAGCATGAAACAAAGGAATGGGATAGGGGATTCCCCTTTGGGGCGAGCTGGCTTTGAAGGCTGGCTGGGGTGGCCTCGGCTAGGAAAATAGGGCGCAGGAGGAGCGAGCTTTCCTTTCCCGGGGAAGGGTTTGCCACAGCTGCTTAATGATCCCAGGAGAACCTGCAGGGTCGCTGGTCCCTAACGTGACGGCGCTCAGATGGTGATGAATCTCGCTCTGGAGCGTCATTGTCTCTCCTGTCCCTGTCTTCTCCGCATTCATCACTGGGCAGCCCTCTTCCGCAGGGCCGGTGGCACCACTAAGCTGGGGAAGTGCAGGCTCAGTGCAGATGAAGGGAACAGCTGGAAGGCCTTTGCCCTTTCTTTTTTGATCCCCTCTTTGTCCCTGAGCTGGAGTGCAGGCTCCTGCGGGTGCTTGTGTTGGGTGTTTGTTTCTAACCCCTGACCTGGATGGGGCAGGGGCTTTCCTTGGGCACTGGCACCGGAGCCGCTCTTCTGCACAGGGCTTCGTTCTATACGTGGGAAGTGCTACCTCTCCTGTCTCTGACGTGAAAGAGGGCCAGCATTCTTGCCCCGTGGAGAGCTCATTATCTTCCGTCAGAGGGCAGATGACCATGCCCCATGGAAATGCCACAGGGTCTGCCCAACTTATACATAAGCGGAGCACCCCTGGAACCAGCCTTGTTAGGGCTAATGTCACCTGACTTATAAATGGGACGGGCCTCAGGGTCTGGCCAAGGACTGAAAATTTGTGAGAGTGCTCACTTAAGGGGAGCCAGCCCCTCGCTGGAGGGAGGGTCCTCGTGGAGGGTCACCCAGGTGCTTGTCATGCCAACCCGGACAGAACCTAGCCCTGCTGCCAGGAGCTGGGTGGCCCCACCGTCTAGGGTGGGGGACAAAAAGGGTGGCCTGTCATAGGTGGTCCTGCCATAGGAATTCCCAGGCGGACCCCTGGCCCGCCCTGATGGGTTTGCCCTGGGCACATGGGAAGCTGGCCAGTGTCCTCAGAAGCAGAGCAGAGGCTCTGGGGTCCAAGAGCAGTTCCCCCGACACTTTGTTTAGGCAATTTTCACACGCAGTGAGGTGGACTGAACTTTATTTCCACGGTCTGCGTTTTCCCCTGCGAGCGGGTCTTGTCGGGACGGGGAAGACATGTAGGGAAGGCTTGGCTGGGCACTGGCTCGGCTGGTGGGGGGAGAACCGGCCCGGTTCCAGTGGGTGGCACAGCGTCGAGGTGGGCGTGTTGGTGTCAGCGACTGACTGGTTCCCCCCTGGCTGTCCAGGACCGTGGTGAGGCGCTGCACCGCCCTGGCCTTCACTGCCTCCGAGGAGAAGGTTCTGGTGGCCGACAAGTCCGGGGACGTGTACTCCTTCTCCGTGTCGGAGCCTCAGGGACATGGGACGCTCGAGCTGGGACACCTGTCAATGCTGCTGGATGTGGTACGTGGGCAGTGGCCCGACTCCTTCAGCCTCTCCTACCTGCTGTGTGGGCGCGTTACGGGGCCAGCTGGCAGCCTTCAGTTCCTGGCTGGTTTCCTGTGAGGCGCTGGGTGGGTACCTCGGGAGATGGAGGCGGGGCCCCAGGGGGTGGCTCAGGAGCTCCCCGAGAAGGAGGAGTTACACAATTACCCTGGTGGTGGTGGCGGTGGAGCATGAGGAGGTGCGGGGGAACAGAAGTGGGGGATTCGTACTTCAGAGCAGGGAGAGTGCGCAAAGACCTTGCTTTTATGGAGGTGAATCGTGTGTGTCTCAGGCATAGTCGGCTCCCCCCCACTCCGAGTGCCCAACATGGTTGGGTTGTGTGCTGAGCAGGGAGAGGAGCAGCAGTGGGCCTTGGGCTGTTGCCCTGGGCTGTCACTCTTGCAGATGTGTCCCCATGGCTCCTCCCTGTAACACAGGAGGTAGCACGCTCCCCTAGAGGTGTGGGAGAGCCCGCGTCTGTCCTCAGCGCAGGGCCATCTCCATTGAGAGCTGCTCTGGGGGGGCCTGTTGGGCAGGCAGGGAGGGAGGGGTGCAACTGGAAATGCCTCCCAGGCGACGGGAGAGGAGGGGAGAGGAGAATGGGGTGAGGGGCGATGTGCCTTTGAACAAGGGGGTGCCCCTGTGGGGCCCCTAGAGGCAGGATATGGATGGGTCTAGGTTTGGGGAGGTAGCTGGGTGGTAGGAAGGAGTGGTTTGGTCAAGGGTACTGCTCTCGTTTGGTCCAGGCCTGCACTGGAAGCTGTCCCATCCTATTTAGATGGCCCTCTGAGCTGGGACTTGGGGAGGGGGGTGGGAGAGCCTCAGGGAAGGAAGACTGGAGCATGGGTGTGTCTGGAGAGGAAGTGACAGGCCTTGGTGCTGGGTCAGGGGGTTAAGAAGAAGGCAGGGATTGCTGGGGACCCGGAAGCATGGCTGGGGGGCAGGGCACCTCGGGGAGTTCTTCGCTTCACAGCCTCCAGAGCTGCAGGTGGGGCTGGAGGAGCAGGAGGAGCCAGCTGAGTCAGGGCTGGTAGTGGGGCTCGGGTGGGATTGGGAACTGGTCTGGTACCCCCAGGCCCTGAGCTGGTGGCAGTGGGTACTTCCTGAGAGGCCTTTAGGGGTGTCACACTGGAGGAGGACCCAGGGTGTCCCAGCGTCAGCTCGAGAGGGTCTGTCTCTGCATCTTCTTCTCTTGTCCCCGAAACGCAGGCGGTGAGTCCGGATGACCGCTATGTCTTCACCGCCGACCGTGATGAGAAGATCCGCGTGAGCTGGCTGGCAGCGCCCCACAGCATCGAGTCCTTCTGCCTGGGACACACCGAGTGAGTGCGCTTCCCCGTGCTCCCTGTGCTGCGGCTGGGTGCTCGCCCGCTTGGCACAGGCTGGCCTAGAGAGCAGCTGACGGTGGCGCCCGCAGGCTGAGGAGCTGGCAGCTGCTGGCCAGCAGACCTCGCAGAGTACCTGTGGGCCCTCGGTACCCTGTGGCCCGGTCCAGGCAGGTCTTGCTCCTGCCTGCAGCTGCTTCTGGCTTTAACGGTTCTTTATGGAGAGGTTTTTATTTCTGCTACTGCCCAGCAGCATTGAGAAATGAACCTGTCCTCCGGTTCTTTCCCGTCAGCCTCGAGGGGACGGATTGCTCGGGAGCTCTCTCCATTCTCCAAGTGGAGGCAGATTGGTGTGGCCATCATCACTCATTGTCCAGCTCCGGCCTGGTCACCTCTGCTTCCTGGCACCCGAGCTCTTCTGTCTCCCAGGCGTCTTGAAGGGTAGAGAAGCATTTCTGACGAATACCCGCCCTTCTCAGGCAAAAGGCTAACTGGAGTTTTCACAAAGGAAAAGCACTTATGTTCAATTGGCTGAAGTGATGTGAAATCCATTACGCTGCCCTTTGATTTTAAATGGTTGATTACTCTCACATGGGGCCGAGTTCAGGTTCCAGCCCTCAAAGGCCCACCAGTCTCTGCCCGACCGTGAGCCTGGCCTCTTCTACCGATCCCGGTGCTACCCTCATGCAGTACGTGCTCTCGTATGCCTGGCTCATCTTCCTTGGCACCCCGTTCTCCAGGCTCATCCGTGGCATAAGGACGTCCCAGGTTCACCCCCTTTCTGCGGTGCGGTGGTGCCACAGTCTATTCATCCAGTTTTCTACTGACAGGCGTCGAGGTTGTCTCCGCAAGTTTGCTGTTGTGCATAGCCCTGTGATGAACGTGTTGTTGGGCTCATTGAATGAGCCACGACCCATAGTGACTCTGCACAACAGAACGAACCGCCCCCACAATTGTTCCCCTGCCTGAGCCCATTGTTGCAGCCCCGGTGTCAGTGCAGCTCCTCGAGGGCCTGCCTCTGTTTCTCTTCCCTGCTTCACGTCACCAAACATGATGGCCTTCTCCAGGGAGTGGTCTCTCCTGACAACATGTCCAAAGTGCGTAAGATGAAGTCTTGCCATCCTGGCCTCTTAAGGAGTACCCTGGTCTTATTTCTTCCAAGACAGATGGGTTTGTCCTTCTGGCAGTCCGTGGTGCTTTCAGTATTGTTCCCCAGCTCCATCGCTGTGAGAACTCTGTGCCCGGCCATGAATATGGCTGGGCACGTATCTGTCTGTGTTGCAGCTCTTCTCTGCGTCTTTACCAAGCAGTACTTTGCTTCTTCACCCCTCCTCTGCCCATTCTCCCTATCGGGGTGGCCTGTGTGGTGGTGCGATGCTGAAGGCTGGGCCACTGGTCTTCTCGACACCAGCAGGATCACCCAGAGTGAACAGGTCTCATCGCATCGTGTCGTGTCGCTGTGCTGCGCAGACCCCTTTAAGGTGTGCCAAGCAAGGTGGTTACTCTGAGAACTGAAGTGTGTCAGAGTGAAGCCGTGGTGTTTCAGTCGCTCGTATACTTGTGGAGTGAATAAGGAAGACCACAGAAGAATCGGTGCACGTGAACCCTGGTGCCGGCGAAGAAGGTCGGCAGTACTGTGGTCTGCCAAGAGAGCAAACAAATCTGTCTTGGAAGTGCAGCCAGGATGCCCCTTAGAGGCAAGGGTGGCAAGGCTTTGTCTCGCCTGCTGTGAACATACTGTCCGGAGAGACCAGTCCCTGGAGAAGGACATCATGCTTGGTGAAGTGGAGGGCAGGGAAACGGAGGAAGGCCCTCGTGGGGTCGCTGTGAGTCGAAAGCGACTCCATAGGCCCCAAACAACCGCATGGCATTTCTGTGGCTCTTGTGCTCGTCGGTCCCTTCCTCACGCCATGACAGGTGTGTTGTGATGTGAGGGGCAGGGCAGCAGGGAGTAGCATGCCTGGGGGAGGGCCTTGGCCTGGAGCATCCCTTGCTGAAATCCTCCTGTGCTGTTGGTGTGTCCCCGACTCCTCTTCTTGGGGACAGGCGTGTCTTGTGAGGGTGGGGAGGCCTCTGCTCCCCGACTTGCAGGCTGCCTCCCTAGCACACTGATGTCACGGGGCCCGGCTCACTCCCTGTCCTTGTGCTCCCACTGTAGGTTTGTGAGCCGGCTGTTTGTGGTGCCCGACCAGCCGGGGCTGCTGCTGTCCACCTCCGGGGTGAGTGCTGTCTGTGGCGGCCAGGCCCAGGGAGGGTGCCGAAGGTGCTGCCCAGGGGGGATTCTAGGGTACAGAGCAGCCTGCTGTGCTTGGCAACGCACAAGCTCCTTTTTCCTTGGGGGTCTGCTCGGTAGTGCTTCAGGTTCTTGAGTGGTATGGTAGTAGGCTGAGGCCGGCTCCTTCCTCATGGTGCTTGAGAGAGAGAGAGAGAGAGCGAGCGAGAGAGATACTGTTCAGATGAACCCACCAGGTGTCATCTCTGACCTAGAACAGGCAGGTGCGGTGGTCTTGTGCTGGCCCCTTCTGCTGAGGGGTCGCCATCCCCCCATGGGGGTGAGGGTGGGGGGGGTATGGAGGCCATCCCGCTCTCACTCAGCGTTTCCACGAGCCGCTGCCGGGCTGACCGTGTGCTTGCTGTGCAGGATGCCACGCTGAGGCTCTGGGAGTACCGGCGCGGGCGGGAGCTGCACCGCTGCCTGCTGACCAGCCTGCAGGAGCCCGGCGAGTCCCAGGGCGAGAAGGTAAGCTGTGCCCGCACCCGGGGTTCTTCGGCACCAGTGCCAGACTTCTCCCCTGTGGCAGGAACCGTGTGTTCCTCACGTAAGTGAGAGTCCCGTGTGAGTCCTACCTTGTGTCCCACCCTTCGCACGTCTGACAGGGTCATTTCCAGAGGGTCTCTCTCCCACCTGGAAACTGCGAACCCTGGTGCCCGAGCAGTTCTAGGATCTGTTTTTGAGACTCAGCTCATGCCTAGGCGGGGCTGGTCCTGGGTAGAGTTGGTGTGAGATGGTTGCTTCATCTTCCCATCTGACTGGTGGGTGGTGTGAGGTGGAGGACCAGTTTGGGAGAGTTGGGGACGCCCTGGTGCCGGCCTATTTGGCCTCTGGCCCTCATTCCCTGGGGCAAGGTGGTCCCAGCTGGGCGCTGTCTGTCTGGGGCACAGTGTCAGGCTCCTCTGGCCCCTGGCCCCTCTGTGCCACTGTTGTCCTGCAGCTGTCACTGACTCACCTGGCCCTGGCGTCCTGCGGGAGGGGGGTGGGGGCCGGGTTCTGGTCTGGATCCGCTGTGGTCAGCATTAGTGCTGGGTGTGTGTTTAGTCACTCCCCAGCCCCCTCCCCCACTCCCTGATTTCAAGGTATCTCAGCC